GACATGAGGAATTTTCAAAATTGTACCAGTGTTTTCTGTTTTTCATTCAGAGCACGTAACAGGTGACATGGGGTAATCAAATGGCGTCTTCTTTCAGAGTCTTTAATACTCCATGGATTGTACTTATCACAGACAAAGTCAACTCTTGATGACATATAAGTAGAAGCAAGCTTGATTACATATCTAAAAACATAAATACTTAGCTCACCAAACCTTGATGGAACGTGGTCTGCAAGCTGTTGTATTACTGCCATTCCATTTAATATCAGTGCTGCATTTTTTGGAATATTGTTAATTTTCATATCAGGAAACTTTACAAGAAAATAATGAAATAATGCAGCTTTGTTGGTACGCTGCAAAGAACCATCAATGTTACTTAGGCTAGATGGGAACTCTGAAAGGTAATGTGAAAAAATTTCTTCCAGGTCAACTTTTCGGGTTCTTGCTACTATAAGAAGCCTAGTGAGAAGGTCTTTATCTGCTTTCAAGCAATCTACTTCCTTCTTGCTCTTTTGTTATGAATGCTTTTTCTGAAGATCACTAAAAGTTTTTATCTTCATTGATTTTAATGGTGCATTCAACTCCACATTTTTCAAAATTAGTCGTTGTTGAACAAACTGATTAGAAATATTACAGTCTTGTTCATGTGCTGTCAAAATGTCATCTTTAATTTCAGAAGATGCTACTTGGCCAGATGCAAAGTTAATTAATTCTTTTTCACAATATGCAAATGGATTTTGCATAGACTCAATTGTCTGCATGACACTCTGAATATCTGCTTCATCCTTTTGATATCGAGAACTACTCAGGTCTTTTTTATTATGGCAGCCCTCTCCTTTTCCAGCCATTTCAGTACAGTTTTTAGAGATTTGAGCACGTTGATTAAAAGATAAAATCCAACGATGAACAGCATTGTCATTATTTGAGAATCCAATCTGCCCCCCTCTGGTTTTGCTATCTCTATTCATTGTCTGTTCAATCGTCTGGTCCATTGCCGTCTGACTAAAGGGGTACTGGTTTTGTTGCTGAACTACAAAATCCCCAGCAGCAAGATGCTTTGCTATTGCAGGGTGGGTATCTGGAACAGCAAGCATCTCATAGATATAAACAGGAAGATATCTAGCATAGTTCAAAATGTCATATGCAAAATACCAAGGTACCATTTCTGCTGCTGATTTAAGGTGAAGGGCCCAATCTCCTGTTCATGTAGCATGAATAAAATTTAAAAACAAATCTGCCATATTCAAGTAACTCATTCAAAATGCAAAAGTTGGAAATTGGCTGCATCTCTCTTGAATAAATAAGGATAGTTTGCTTTCAAACTCTTTAAAATCATTTGATGTGCAGAGATCTTGGAATTGTGTTTTGGGAAAAGCATAATATAAATTTTTAGACAATGCAATGAATTTAGCTTTTTCTTCTTCACTTTGTGTTTCAATAAAAGTAGATAGGAGTTTCCTCCTTAAGGCTTCAGACATAATTTTTATGACTGACACTTTGATTATAGTGCCTGCCTTTCATGACTCCAGGTAGTGATTCTTGTGTCACTGTTCCAGCTTCAAGTAGGACATCAGCTAGCCCTGAATCTTCAAAGCGCTTTCCAATGACATTGAGAAACGACATGCAGGTGTGGAACTCACCAAGTCTGACAACTGTTTTTTGCATATACATGGCATCATTCCAACGTACTTGCTGTGCTTTAGCATAAAATGCAAGATCAAATGTTAATACCATACATTCAGTTTCAAGCTCATCAGCAATAGCAAGACTTTTCAAAAATACTGCATTCACAGTACTTAGTTGAGTTGGGTTACCAGTGACCAGAGGCAAATATCCAATATTGCTTTTTGGTGGTATTTGGTCCTGTAATAAAAGAATATTGAAACCTGTCCAACCTGGAATTGGAGTAGTGTTTTGGTTGTCACTTTCACAGTGCATATTGATCATGGTCATAGCCAAATCAGTAATGCTTGTTTTGGTCTCACAAAATGATTTAAATAAAGCATTTTGAATGCTGTCAATTGAAATTGAAGGTAGGAAAGAGCCTACTCTTTTTGCCACATAATATTCTGGTATGGGCGCTTCATTTAGCATCACACTGCGCTTCTTACTCCTGATCATTTTGGGGCTGGTCTTTTTCTATTGCGACATCTTCAATATGTGATAAGTGATCAGAAGTTAGCTTCTGCACTATGATCCCATTTGTATTATGGGTTGTTCCCTTACCACTCAGAGTTTCTTTGCCAAAGTCATTATTATCCCTAAATGTGTAAAACCTTTCTTTTTAAAACTCTCTGGAATGTTACTTTTTGATAGTTGTTGTTCAGCCAAAGCCGTATCCAGTTCTAGAGTTGTGCTGTGGCTTATAGAGTGCCCAAACCCATTTAAAATGCCTATAAGTTTTGACTGACCAGTCCAGTGTCGAACAGCCATTCCCAGTGCATAATGCTTTGGTAAAAACAAATTTCCTCTGTGAGAAAGGTTCAGAATATCTTGTGCT